TACTAATAACTGTACTTATTTTAGACAAAAAAAAAAGAGAAAAAATTAAAAGATTTGAACATAAGATCTCCAGCATTCTAGGCTTGCACCTAGATGCGCTCGACCATGTAGAGTACTTTTAAATCGTTCTTATAAACGAGGTATATTACTCGCATGGGAAATTGTAAATAATTAATATCTCGTAAACTATCGCATTTTGACATAATTTATGCCATTGTGGATTAATGGGAAAGGTATACGATTCTAAAAATTTATTTAAACATATATGTCATATGGAACGTCCTTTTATCCCTTATATCGTTAGCCGAGCCGGCCGAGCCGGCCGAGAAACATTTTCAGCCGCTCGCGACAAGCGGACGAGCGAGAGGGTCCGATCGTGACGTAGCGTCTGCCATCTCGCTCGCGCTCGGCTAGTGCGCATGCGTCGAAGGCTGAAGGACAGACAGTCGTGCTGTTGCGCTCTCTTAGCCGAGTCAAGCCGAACGCGGCGTGCTGGGACCCCAATGTGCATCACTGCCTCTAATAAGAGTCTGGCCACCTGCTCGCACGATTTTGATTGGCCGCCGTCATTCGTGGTCTAAATTAAGTGGGGTATGCCTCCCACCAAGAAATGTTGTGGCGTACGTTATTTTCGCGGTGACGCATAACCTGCAATTTCTTGCGTGCAGTGAAATAAAATTGATTTTCGTTTCAATGTACATGAAATGTATCGAGTTTGGAAATTATGACTTTGACGATAGATCTTATTTGTCAGGCTTTTTAGACCATACTACGACTATACATAACGAACACAAAAAAAGTATATAAAAAACAACACTGATGACTTAAGTCAATCTGTCATACATTTCGAAGACGTAAAACAATTAAGCAACATAGAAATGAATATTCTGTACAGTGTTGCAGGATACCTTGTAAAAAGTATTTTACACTTGTCGAAGAAAAGATGCGTAAAGTGTGCTGTTTCCGTAGGCTCAAAGAAACCGGAACTTTTTTCGTGCGCGACTTTTGTACGCTTTCGATGCATCAAAGCAAATACGTTATTTTTTGTGAATCATTGTACATTCCAGATATTCCTACAAATGGAATACTTCTTCCGAAAATCTATAAAATCCATTAGGTCGAAACCAAATATTAATGTTTTGCGATTCTTTACTGATCAATTTGAGTCGTTCATCGTAGGCGATCACATTGCGACATGCCATAATTTAAGATCAAAAATTATTAAACGATTTGCGGTGTTCAGATTAAAAATAGCATGTAAGAAATACAAGCCTAAAAAAAGGCATTATGACAGTAAAACTATGGCAATGCACAGTGTAAAAAAATAATCTTTTATTACTCCTGTATCTCTATTATCTATCTCCTGTCATTATATTAATTATATATTTTATATTTCATTAATTTGCAATAAATTTATTTCATTTATTCTATCGTGTATACATCCGAAATAAACATATATATATATAT